TTATGATATCAATTATTTTATTTAATAAAGGAACTTTATTACTTTCTCATTTAAATAGGAATAGTATTGAATAATTTTTTAATTATTTTCATATAAATATAGTTTAATATAAAAAATATTAAATACCATTTTAAGAACTATTAAACTATTATAATTTTTGATAAGAATGAGCTTTTGATAAAATTAATAAATATAGATTGGATGCATATGGTAGATTTTGCAATAATATCCATTTTATTTTAGATGATTTCATAAATATCTTTTAAAAGGATTATCCAGAAAAAATTGATGAATAATGGCATAGGTAATGTGATTTCTGTTTTAAAAATCATAACTTAATTTAAAAAAGCTTTTTAATTTATTGATATGATGACTTGAATATTATTTAATAGGATTGTAATTATAATTAGAAGAAAATCTGTTAAGATTTCAAAACTACATCTATGAAATCAATCTTTTATTAAAATGCAATTTATACGTATAAAAATTCATTTGATAATTTATTAATTATTATTTATAAATTAACTCATTTTTAAATTTAACTTAAAGATACCATTCTCTTAAATTGAATAGAAGATTCCATATGTCTTATAATTAATACACTATTTTATGAGTTGAAAAAGTTTGTATTAATCTACAATTAGAACTTGTTAATCAAATATTTTTTAATTTACAAATCTTTTTAATTAAATCATTTTCTGTAAATTTAATTATTTTGTATAAGATCAGATGTATCTGCTTATATAAAACACTTTTTAATCCTATTTAGATGTATGTATTCTATTTATATTGAAATAAATAGATTTTTCAAGTTATTCATTCATTATTTTATTATTTAGTAAATTTAAGATTTTTTAAGACCTTAATCACATACAATTGATATATTTGAGTAATTTTTAATTCTTAATTTTGAGATGAAGTTAATATTTTTTAGACTCAAGCATAAGTTATCTCATTTTTAAAAACTAGATTAGAGTTTTTTCTAAATTTCTTTTTCTTTAAATAAATGAAGGTGAGTATTTTTCGTAATTCTTAATTTAAGTCTTCATAATACTTGATTGTGATTAATTTCTTATCCTATAACAGTTATCTCTTTGATACATTTTATAGGCATTGCAATTTAAAGTATTAATTTGAGCAATTTTATGAGGAACTTGCAATTGCTAGAACCTTACTCTTTGTGATTCAGTGAGAATTGTGAATTAAAATTACATAATTAAAATTAATAGAAAATAAAAAAAAAATGAAATGAGAGAAGTTCGATATCAAAAAATAGTGATTGTTTACTAAATCTAGATTTAGGAAGATACTTCTTTATTTAATCATAAAAAGGAACGTAAGAATTATTTTTGAAAATAATTTTTGAGCTTAGATTATATATTGAACTCGATTGTTTATACAGACAACAATAATTCAACCTTTAAATAAGCAAAGTGATAAAAATGGTTATTGTATGTATTGTTCAGTTGATAACCTGAAAACAAGATTTTTACATATTATTAGGATTGTTATGGTATTTTTGGATTGTCTAAAGATAGTTTGAAGAAAATTAGTAAATCATAATAGTCTGTTGAAATAGTTGGACATGTCTTTGGGTAAGCCCAAAAATAGTAAATTTTTCAAAAAGACTTCCGAACTACTTTATATAAAATGTATGGAATTAAGAAGTAAAAAAAATAGGACGGCAATATAATTGGTTTCTAAAAATAATTAGTAACTATAAAAACATTTGATGTTTAGAGGATAAATCAAAGGGGAAATGTAAAATCAATTTACTAAAACTTAATTAAAAAATTATAATTTCATTGCATAAAATAATAGAGAAGTGAAAAATATATTTGAAATGAAGATAAAATGATTATAAGAACGTTTACTATAGATATGGTTCAAAATTTATATTTTCAATATCAAATAATATCGCTTGCATATCTATGTTATTTAAATAAACTTAATCAGTAAATTCTAGTAATTTTAAATAGAATAGTTTTGTCTTTTACTAAACATTTACATAATAAAAATAATTTATAAAGTTATTAATAAGATTTTGATTAGTAAGAATATGAAGTTTAAGATCATTAATAGTATAATTTAAGTCAATTGATATATTAGCTAATTATTAGAGTATTCATCTATATTACTTTAATTTGGGATTCACTACTTAATTTAGTTCAGACTAAAAGTCTTATCATTTAAAATTTCACTAAATTTCTTCCAAATAATTCTAATTGTAATTATGCCTTTTAATTAGATTGGTAATTTATTTACAATACACTATCAAATAATCTCTAGGATAAATAGTTTATTTTGATGATAATTCCATAAATCTTACATGAATAATTAATATTTAATTTCTTCTAAATATGCAGATAAATTTTATCACTAGTTTAGTATTCATTATGAAGTGAAAAATATGTTATTTAAAGAGTATGGATTTTAGGTAAAATTTTTAAATGTAAAAATAAATTTCCATTAATTAACTTAAAATTCAAGTGATCTAAAGATGAAAGAATTATAGATTATAAAATCAAATATTAATTTAAATGCTTACATATCTATCGCAGTATGAGACAGTAAAGCGCAACATGTGAATATAAAAATCTATTCTTAAATGATGGATTTTAGTTTCAGATCTTCTATGATAATGGTAAGCAATTAATCAAGTAATTTGTAAATGAAGGTGACAAACAACCAAACAATTCAATTATATACTTTATACTATAAAAAGAAATATTTTACAAAATTGAATAAGACTTTTACAAATTGTTTTTTTTAGAAACAAATTTTGCAAATATTTCATTTTGTTATATTTTGTTGTAATTATTAATTTTTTACTTAAATTATAAATAATTTGTGAGTAAATGATTAATATATTAATAATTAAATAAAAAAATGTATAAACCAAAAATGATAGAAAATGAAAAAAATCTTCATTGTTTAATGAAACATGAATTACCTGTCACAATGGTTATTCTAGATTCTAAACTAACATAAAATTAAAGACTTTTGTGTTAGGAATGCATTGATAATTTTGAATCAGAGTAAACATAGAAGACAATAGGATTTAAAAAAATAGTTTAGAAGATTGAAGATAATAAATAGTAATAATTAAGTATTTTAGAAAATCTAATTATAAGTAATATTAAATAAGTTGAATCATTCTAAATTGAAATCAATAATTTAAAATCTATGATTATTTAATAATTAGATCAAATAATTAATAATACAAAAGATTGGATATTAAATTTAAAATAAATAGGATTTAAATATTCAGAATATAGTTTCTTTAAAGAATTAGATTTAATAATAATTAATTAATAAAATAATCAAAATGATTAAATTAATTGTTAAAATCAAATTAAAATACTTAATCAAAGTTAGATTACTAAAATCAATTCTAAATTAGAATAATTCAAATCATTTCAAGAATATTAATAATTAAAGAATATATTAAATAAATTAAATGAATAAACATAAAATATATTTATAATTTAATAACAATAAAAATAACAATTAAGTCCAAATCAATTATTATTTATTGATAATACTATTGAATAAAAAGAAATATGTAATGCAATTGTATTTGATTCAACAGGGAAGATTATGGTTTCAACTTGTGAAAATAAAATATTAATTTGGAATTTCAATAATGGAAAAATTTAAAAAGTTCAAACACTTTCAGAACATTAAAAAGATGTTATTTGCCTAATATATAGTAAAATTAAGAATTATTTTATTTCTGGATCAAATGATGGATCAATTATATTATGGAAATAATTGAATAACAATCAATGGTAAAGTTCTAAACCATAATGTGAGCATAAGAAATAAATCAATTGTATAATCTTAACATAAAATGAAAATTAATTAATTTCAGGTAGTTTAGATTCCTTGATAAATGTATGGAGAATAGATTTTATTAATAATCAATTAACATTTCTCTATTCTTTATAAAAACATACTAATTCTGTCACCTCATAAAGTTTAAATGAATCAGAAAGAGTATTGGTTTCATGTGGAGATGATAAATTAATTATAATTTGGTAAAAGGATGCAAATAATAAGTGGACTTTTTAGTAAGTTGTTAAATAATCAATTCAAGATGTTGGGACTCATGTTAAATTCATAAAGGAAGATTAATTCATATTGTTACCTTATAAATTCAATTGTTTATATGTATTTTAACAAAAAGATGGTCAATTTCAAGAAATAATAGAGAAGAAAGTTTAATTTAAAAAAATTAACTATGGATATTTAAATTAATCATTCTTCCCTATAATATTCATTAAGGATAAAAATTTAATATGCTTGAGACATAAAGACTACATTATCTTACTCAAAGAACAAAATGATGGATAATTGTAAATTGTTTAGGAATTAGATTGCCAACATTGGAATATATTTGGAACAGTAACAAACAATGGATAATATTTAATATATTGGGGAGAAAATAAGATGAAATATGAGATATATGAAATATAGTATAAATGAAATAAATGATTCATTATAAGTATTAGATTTCATTATTCTATTTCAATTTATTATTATCTTTTCTATTCTTTTCTTAATTAATAAAGGGTATTATTTACTCTTAGATTCTTAAAAAGAAAAGGATTTTTGATGATGATTCTTATATTAAAAAAAATTAATTTCCTTGAATTTAAATTCTTTAAAGAAAAAATCAATATAGTGATTTTCTTATTTAACTGCAATCATATATACCTATGTTTATCTTCGACTTGATTAATTGAGAATGTGTTAATAAAATGATTTTTCAATATAGACATTTTATTTTATAATTCTTTACAAATATAAAATTCAATTATAAAAATTAATTAAGAAACAATCATAGTGAATAGAAATCTTAAATGAAATTTCACTATTTCTTTTAGTTTCTCTGAGTGATTATTTACTTAATATAAATATTTAATTGCTTTGATTTATAATATTTAAGAGAATTGAAAGTAGTAAGTATTTAATAAAATATTTTTAGGTCTAAAAACATGCAAACAAACAAATAAATATGGAATCTGGTTGCTAATAAATTGTAGTCTAATTTATATCTAAATTTATAACTATAAGGACTATATCTAATTTTGAATACTTAAGAATAAAAACTTAAAGTTGTGAATTTAAAAATTTTCCAATCATATTTTTTATATGTTCATGAATTTTTTAAATATTTGAATTTGTATATTAAAATGGAAGAGAGAAGAAATTTCAAACTTGTAAATGAGCAAAAGATTTAACAGTAAGACATTTAATCACTTCTTAAATTTATAAGAAAAAGTATATTTATGGATAAGAAGATTCCAAAAATAAATAAGTATTTTTATTTGGGTGCATTCTTACAATAAATAGATAGATTATAATTATAGAAGATATTTGAATATTTTTGGGCTGTTGCAGATTTTATCTTATTTTAAAACAAATTGAATTATCTTAGTCAAAATGATAAATTGCCAAAAGGAATAGTTGGGCGTGTTAATGAATTGAATGATGAGATTGTGGCTTGTTAGTTAAATGTTGAAGTATCTACTTACAAGAGGTAATAAAATATAATTTGTTAAGAATGTTCTAATTATTTTATGACAGTCAGTCATTTAATTTAATATATGATGATATAAAGGCTACTTGATATATTCATTTATAATATTAATTTTTTCTCTTCTTTAACAAATAGTAAACTTATCCATAGTAAAATTAAATTTACAAAATTAATTTGAAGAGTTTAAATTCAATAGTCTTATGAATAATAAGGTGAAGAATTTTTATTTTTATTATTAATGAATGTTTATCATATTTAATCCCCTGAGTAAATATCACACAACATATGTAATTATATCATATAGAATTTAATTTAATTAATTAGGTATAATTTTGAATCTAGTGCATAAAAAGTTGTTATAACTCTGTTCTAAAATTATTAGATATTCTATTAAATACTTATTATTCAAATAAAAATAAAGATTTATAATACAATATTAATAAATATTTTTTATTATTTCAGGTTATAAATATTTTTATCTATGGAAGTATTAATAGCAGAAATGCAAGGAACATAATCTTCATATAACCCTAGACTATATTAAGGATCATTCATATCTGTCAACAGAAGATTGGTGCTCTAAAATTTATAATGTTATAAGTTATGTTGAAGATAAAATGGGCAAATTGTATAAGAAAGTACAAAAGTGTATAGTATGACCAAACAAATGAAATCCATTGCCAGCAGAATTCAAAAAATTATAGAGTTAGAGTGCGAGCCATACTATTAAATTAAAAAAAGAAACTTAATAAATTAATTGCTAACCATAACTAATAGATTTTAAATCAATTTTTATTTAATAATTTTACAAAAAATGGATTAAATTTATACATCGATGAATCATCAAATTAAGTATTAGATTAAGAATCATTAAAGTCATTAAAATTATCACTAGATATAAAATGAGGTTATGATTCATAGTAATTAAGAGATACCAAAATATGAATTATATAATCCAAAAATAAAAGAACTTCTATCTATTGTTAAAAAAATAGATTTATAGAAATATTGCTTAATCTTACTAATCCAAAATACCAAATCATAGATAAATATTTTTAGGAATTTTATTTGAGTTTGCTAGATTATCTATATCACATTTGTATGACATATATCCTTAATTAAACAAATTAAATTTGAACTTTGGCATAATAAGATCACTAAGTGTTAGCAAATATCTTGTAAATTTTTATTATCTGTATATGCTTTAGATTAGTTTTCCGTATCAGTTTGATATTATCTCTGATTATTATGATAGAAGAAAAAGCTTTTCATAATTATCATAATTATTCTAAAACATTAAAGCTTACTAGATTAATTTAGATATACATATGCCTAATAAAACCTAAATAAAAGAGTTATAGATTAAAGATAATAAAAAATTTTTGTTTCAACATTATCATTTAATAAAAGTGAGGAGTTCAAATCCAAACTTTGAATTTATGAAAAGGGAATCATAATAGTGAGATTCCCAATTGATTTAAATAAAATGTAATTCAAGAAAAATATCTATAATACATATCTCTAATACAGGAACCTATTAGCAGTCTACTTAATTGAATTATCACCTGCTTGATAATCTATTACATCATAATTTAAATGAACTAAGGGCTCACTAGAAAAATACAAACATGAATCAAATACTTTACAAAGCCAATGCTTATCATAAGTACATTTAAATTGTATAAATTTACCTTATTTATTAAAGAATCTCCCTTAAAAGAATCATGATTAAGAAGTTGACAGATGTTAAAAATAACAAAAGAGATTGTTATTTGCTTTTTATAGATCTTCCTTAATAGTTAAAAGTGAATTCAAGGCCTGTAGAATTTCTAGAAATACTACTAGAATTTAGAGGGCTCTATATTATTCAGACATTATCCAATAATGTCCAATGTAAAAATCAAAATTATATGACGATTATGTCATTAAGAATAAACTAAAATAATCCTATTCCTTATTTTTCTTATGTGTAAGATTTTTTACCTAAATTATTCCTGCTATGATTTATAATACAATGATTTAACAGATTAATCTTATTATCAAACAAAATTTTTTCTTCATAAAAACATGACATAGTTGAAACAATCAAAAAGATCTTCATTTTCCTCACACATTTATTTGAAAAATATTGATTTAACAGATATAATCAATTTATAATTAGTTTTTTACTCTTGCAATTTATACATTTAATATATTAGAATTAGTATTATTAAAAATTAATAGCAGAAATGTCAAGTTCCATTCATCGTCATTCAGAATGATGACCCTTTTTATTCTATTAATAAAATAAAACTACTTAATATCTTAAAAAACACTATTTTCAAAGTGCATTTGAAGACTTCAATCTATTTTATTTTATTTTTTGCATTTAAAATTGAAAAATGAATACGATCATTTTAATGTTAAATTTACTTTTTTTTATTTTCATATTGAATTCATTTGCGTGTCATGATTGAAAATATATTTTTTTATATCATCATCATTTAGAATGTGTTGTGGATTTATTAAGTGTAGTTTTGATTTTAAATAATTTTATTTTTTTTTAAAAGCAAATATCTTAGTATTTAGTTATATGATATTATTTAAATGAATATTGATGAATAATATTAAGTGTTATTTATAAGATTAAGTATCCTAGTTTCTATTGTTTATCCCTAGGCTTTTCACATTGAAAACTAATCTACTGAGATCTAAAATAGTTTCTATTTATTTTCTATTATATTATAAAACTATTTTAATTGCATTTATATTTCATTTTCTCTATATTATTGTTTTTAAATCTTAAGTTTAATTTATTAAAAGATATTGTAAAAATATTGTTAATTTTAATATTCCCCAAATTTTACATCAATAATACCCTTTATTAATTAAGAAAAGAATAGAAAAGATAATAATAAATTGAAATAGAATAATGAAATCTAATACTTATAATGAATCATTTATTTCATTTATACTATATTTCATATATCTCATATTTCATCTTATTTTCTCCCCAATATATTAAATATTATCCATTGTTTGTTACTGTTCCAAATATATTCCAATGTTGGCAATCTAATTCCTAAACAATTTACAATTATCCATCATTTTGTTCTTTGAGTAAGATAATGTAGTCTTTATGTCTCAAGCATATTAAATTTTTATCCTTAATGAATATTATAGGGAAGAATGATTAATTTAAATATCCATAGTTAATTTTTTTAAATTAAACTTTCTTCTCTATTATTTCTTGAAATTGACCATCTTTTTGTTAAAATACATATAAACAATTGAATTTATAAGGTAACAATATGAATTAATCTTCCTTTATGAATTTAACATGAGTCCCAACATCTTGAATTGATTATTTAACAACTTACTAAAAAGTCCACTTATTATTTGCATCCTTTTACCAAATTATAATTAATTTATCATCTCCACATGAAACCAATACTCTTTCTGATTCATTTAAACTTTATGAGGTGACAGAATTAGTATGTTTTTATAAAGAATAGAGAAATGTTAATTGATTATTAATAAAATCTATTCTCCATACATTTATCAAGGAATCTAAACTACCTGAAATTAATTAATTTTCATTTTATGTTAAGATTATACAATTGATTTATTTCTTATGCTCACATTATGGTTTAGAACTTTACCATTGATTGTTATTCAATTATTTCCATAATATAATTGATCCATCATTTGATCCAGAAATAAAATAATTCTTAATTTTACTATATATTAGGCAAATAACATCTTTTTAATGTTCTGAAAGTGTTTGAACTTTTTAAATTTTTCCATTATTGAAATTCCAAATTAATATTTTATTTTCACAAGTTGAAACCATAATCTTCCCTGTTGAATCAAATACAATTGCATTACATATTTCTTTTTATTCAATAGTATTATCAATAAATAATAATTGATTTGGACTTAATTGTTATTTTTATTGTTATTAAATTATAAATATATTTTATGTTTATTCATTTAATTTATTTAATATATTCTTTAATTATTAATATTCTTGAAATGATTTGAATTATTCTAATTTAGAATTGATTTTAGTAATCTAACTTTGATTAAGTATTTTAATTTGATTTTAACAATTAATTTAATCATTTTGATTATTTTATTAATTAATTATTATTAAATCTAATTCTTTAAAGAAACTATATTCTGAATATTTAAATCCTATTTATTTTAAATTTAATATCCAATCTTTTGTATTATTAATTATTTGATCTAATTATTAAATAATCATAGATTTTAAATTATTGATTTCAATTTAGAATGATTCAACTTATTTAATATTACTTATAATTAGATTTTCTAAAATACTTAATTATTACTATTTATTATCTTCAATCTTCTAAACTATTTTTTTAAATCCTATTNATATTGAAAAATCATTTTATTAACACATTCTCAATTAATCAAGTCGAAGATAAACATAGGTATATATGATTGCAGTTAAATAAGAAAATCACTATATTGATTTTTTCTTTAAAGAATTTAAATTCAAGGAAATTAATTTTTTTTAATATAAGAATCATCATCAAAAATCCTTTTCTTTTTAAGAATCTAAGAGTAAATAATACCCTTTATTAATTAAGAAAAGAATAGAAAAGATAATAATAAATTGAAATAGAATAATGAAATCTAATACTTATAATGAATCATTTATTTCATTTATACTATATTTCATATATCTCATATTTCATCTTATTTTCTCCCCAATATATTAAATATTATCCATTGTTTGTTACTGTTCCAAATATATTCCAATGTTGGCAATCTAATTCCTAAACAATTTACAATTATCCATCATTTTGTTCTTTGAGTAAGATAATGTAGTCTTTATGTCTCAAGCATATTAAATTTTTATCCTTAATGAATATTATAGGGAAGAATGATTAATTTAAATATCCATAGTTAATTTTTTTAAATTAAACTTTCTTCTCTATTATTTCTTGAAATTGACCATCTTTTTGTTAAAATACATATAAACAATTGAATTTATAAGGTAACAATATGAATTAATCTTCCTTTATGAATTTAACATGAGTCCCAACATCTTGAATTGATTATTTAACAACTTACTAAAAAGTCCACTTATTATTTGCATCCTTTTACCAAATTATAATTAATTTATCATCTCCACATGAAACCAATACTCTTTCTGATTCATTTAAACTTTATGAGGTGACAGAATTAGTATGTTTTTATAAAGAATAGAGAAATGTTAATTGATTATTAATAAAATCTATTCTCCATACATTTATCAAGGAATCTAAACTACCTGAAATTAATTAATTTTCATTTTATGTTAAGATTATACAATTGATTTATTTCTTATGCTCACATTATGGTTTAGAACTTTACCATTGATTGTTATTCAATTATTTCCATAATATAATTGATCCATCATTTGATCCAGAAATAAAATAATTCTTAATTTTACTATATATTAGGCAAATAACATCTTTTTAATGTTCTGAAAGTGTTTGAACTTTTTAAATTTTTCCATTATTGAAATTCCAAATTAATATTTTATTTTCACAAGTTGAAACCATAATCTTCCCTGTTGAATCAAATACAATTGCATTACATATTTCTTTTTATTCAATAGTATTATCAATAAATAATAATTGATTTGGACTTAATTGTTATTTTTATTGTTATTAAATTATAAATATATTTTATGTTTATTCATTTAATTTATTTAATATATTCTTTAATTATTAATATTCTTGAAATGATTTGAATTATTCTAATTTAGAATTGATTTTAGTAATCTAACTTTGATTAAGTATTTTAATTTGATTTTAACAATTAATTTAATCATTTTGATTATTTTATTAATTAATTATTATTAAATCTAATTCTTTAAAGAAACTATATTCTGAATATTTAAATCCTATTTATTTTAAATTTAATATCCAATCTTTTGTATTATTAATTATTTGATCTAATTATTAAATAATCATAGATTTTAAATTATTGATTTCAATTTAGAATGATTCAACTTATTTAATATTACTTATAATTAGATTTTCTAAAATACTTAATTATTACTATTTATTATCTTCAATCTTCTAAACTATTTTTTTAAATCCTATTGTCTTCTATGTTTACTCTGATTCAAAATTATCAATGCATTCCTAACACAAAAGTCTTTAATTTTATGTTAGTTTAGAATCTAGAATAACCATTGTGACAGGTAATTCATGTTTCATTAAACAATGAAGATTTTTTTCATTTTCTATCATTTTTGGTTTATACATTTTTTTATTTAATTATTAATATATTAATCATTTACTCACAAATTATTTATAATTTAAGTAAAAAATTAATAATTACAACAAAATATAACAAAATGAAATATTTGCAAAATTTGTTTCTAAAAAAAACAATTTGTAAAAGTCTTATTCAATTTTGTAAAATATTTCTTTTTATAGTATAAAGTATATAATTGAATTGTTTGGTTGTTTGTCACCTTCATTTACAAATTACTTGATTAATTGCTTACCATTATCATAGAAGATCTGAAACTAAAATCCATCATTTAAGAATAGATTTTTATATTCACATGTTGCGCTTTACTGTCTCATACTGCGATAGATATGTAAGCATTTAAATTAATATTTGATTTTATAATCTATAATTCTTTCATCTTTAGATCACTTGAATT